AGCAGGAATAAGTTTGCAAAGGTGAATAAAATCTTAAAAAATAAATAATGTAAAAATTTAAATATAAAATAATTTTTATTTAAAAAGTTGACATGACATTTAAATGATGTGTACATATATATTGTATACAATATCAAAATCCCTCATTTATCAAGGGTACAGTAGCAACTTCCAATTTTTTTTTGGGTAGAGGAACATATAAGACCACTTGTTAATAACCGTATGTGATTTTTAAAATCGATGGATTTTCACTCAATTTTAAAAGTGCTCACATATAAAATTGACTAAAACGAAATATGTCATATCCTTTTAAATTCTGAAGTCATGCCTTTCTCATAAGTGTTTACATTACTAATCGGCTTCCTATTTTCTCTCAATTTCGATTTTCCCATCATTAATTTTTTTAACCAATAGTTTGTCTAACTTTTAAAAGTTTTTTTTAGACATTCTAACAAAAACTGTTAGAATAGTGGATTAAGCCTAACTCAACCCTACAAAACCGGCTTGTAAGGTGAGGGTTGCTTTCCACTTATATATTATTCAATTGCCTAATCTCTAGTCGATGTGAGACTTGAGTTTTTCCCAATACACCCCCTCACGTCCAGCACTATTGGGCTTGGTACGTGGATAAATGGTGGGTGACCCTTTTTAATGATCTAGGATTGGCGGGACTTGGGTTTTTCCCAATACACCACCTCATCAATGGTGGGTGACCCATTTTTAAAGTGGATCTAAATGGCTCTGATACCATGTTAGAATAGTGGATTAAGCCTAACTCAACCCTACAAAACCGGCTTGTAAGGTGAGGGTTGCTTTCCACTTATATATTATTCAATTGCCTAATCTCTAGTCGATGTGAGACTTGGGTTTTTCCCAATAAAACAAACTTTAATTTTGATCACAAAAATGTCTTTTTCTTTTCCCATCCTCTTCCCCATCTTCGATCTCCACTTTTTCTCCAATTACCATTCCCCTTTTCAAGTCAACTATTTTCTCACTCAATTTATTCATAATCTCTTTTCTTCATTCCCTTTATTTCACGCTCCCCTCAATTAATGTCCACCGACACTACCCCCTTCAAGCCCTTAAAATATATATCCCATGCAAACTAGGCCAAAGTTAAGGATTATTTAGAAAAGACTTAATCCCACTTCATTGCTTACACATATGAAGCCAAAATCCACAACAAAAAAAAAAAAAGTCCTAATTAATCTAGCATGTCTTGTTCTAATTCAGTATGTATACAATTAATTCACTCCAATACAAAAATACTTGGACGCTTTTGCCTTCGCCCTTAACAAAAAAACCCTTTGGGTGAAAATGGGTATTTCATGTAAAAGTAAAATCATAGAATATAGAAAATAAATATAAGGCCAGGCTTTGGGTCAAAATATTTCATCAACATTTTAGTCACGACTTTACTAAAACTTTCTCTCCAACCATTAAGTCAATCATTATTTGTGTTGTTCTGATTTCAACCGTAATATACCACTAGCCTTTTAACCAACTTGATGTCAACACTTCCTTTCTCAATAAACCTCATGTAAGAATTTTTCATCACTCAACCACCAAGTTTTGAGTTTCACCGCAACTTTAATTTGGAGGGACTATCTATGGTCTAAAATAAACTCCTTGAGTCTAGTTTGACAAATTATATATAGTCTACTTTACCGTAATTTCATTTACCACCAAGGGCTTTAACCTTCTTTATGTGTTAATTTACGTTAATGATATTGTTGTTACAAGTAACAATCATGCACTAATTCAGAACCTAATCATTAAAGCTCAATTTACTATTTTCTCTTAAAGATGTTAGTAATTTGGACTACTTTGTTGGCATTGAAGAAAAGCCTCAGGCTGATGGATTTTTTGTCTCACTTAGAGAGCTAATATATTAGGGATATTTTGACCAAAACCAATATGGTATATATAGGCTAAACATATCTCTTCTCTCATGCTTGGTGGATGCAAACTCACCAAAGAATGTCTAATTTATCTGATTGATACAACCTTTTACACGTCAATGGTTGGCGTATCAAAATGTTCCATCAATTTAAATTGTCCTAAATCAATGTTTTTTTGTTAATAATGTTTGTGGTTCATGTCTCAACTTCTGAAAGCAATCTCAAATGCACCATCTCTCACACTATGTTTGAGGGAGCTAAAGCTAATTTACCAGGGAATTGACTAAACTTTGAAGTTTATTGAATCACTAATATAAACAACTGTTAAAGCAACAACTGATTTGTTACACAAAATTTCCCCTTTTGGAAGGTATTATATATATATACACTCAAATGTATGTATAGTGTACATGCATAAACTTTCAATGACTTTGTGCAACATATATATGCAAGATTCAACCTTTTATTCTTTTCATTATTTTGATTGCCTACTTACTAAAATATATACATCATAAAATTAATTATATTTTTTTTTTATATATATGTGTAGGCATCATTCGAAAGACAAGAGCTGTAATGGAATGTATGCATCGCTTTTGCAGAGACTGCATAGAGAAATCATTTCGCCTTGGGTTTATCATCAAACTACAACCATTTTTTATCTTCCATACATTATCGATGTAAAAATTTTTATATTGGCAATCAATCATATCTTTTAAATTATTTTATTTTATTTTTATTTTATTAAATAAATAATTGACATGATACTATATTAAGAGATATGGTTGGTTGTCAGTATAAAAAAAAAAATTTACATCGATAATATATAAGTGATTAACTCTTTTAATATTTAGTTAGGATGATTGTACTTTATTTGCAATTAATTTTTTTCCAACTTCTTCTAATTGATGTCTATGGAATGATGTTATTGCAGAAACAATGAATGCCCTTCTTGTCGTACACATTGTTCAAGTCGTCGGTCTCTAAGGGAAGACCCCAATTTCGATGCCTTGATTGCCCTCCTGTATCCTAATATTGATGAGTACGAGGAGGAGGTAATATCCATATATATTGCATTTTTATTTAGAGTTTTTGAAACAGAAAAAAAAAAATTCTTTAATAATGTTTTGGATCAGGAACTGGCATTATCAGATGACGAAGTTGAGAGTCTGCAGGTGAGACTAATATCATAATATTTCTTAAATTGTTTGTCATAAATTCTCTAGAGAATGGCCCTAAACGTTTTTGGTTGTAAGATGTGAAATAAAATTGAGACATTCCACCTGAGAATAATAATATGTAATAGCCAAATTAACTAACCTATTTTTTTTTTAATTTAAATTGACTACGCTCTAGGGAGGATTGGACCTATTTTGCTTATATATATTATAGTCAAAACTTTGACTTGAACAACTTCAACTATTATGCAAAACTTGGCCTTTGAATTAGAAAAAAAAATTATTTGTTCTATAATGAAACATTTAGGTAAGTCTTTTGTTGAAGTATCATTTTCTAATTCAAGACAAAAAAGAAGACATGTAAACTACGCATGTGATTAGAATTTTTCTCCCTTCCAACGGAAAATCCTTTAGTTACATATTTCTACATGTTCATTCAAATCATTAGAAATGCTTTGTTGCACTAGCATGTTGACAAGGAACCGTATTCCTTGTAACTAACCCGTCTCACCCATATTCATTAGCCAATTTTAAAGCTAAATATAGATTAGTTGTATGATGTTGCAAAAATAAAACTAGACTACAATTTTACAAGTAGATTAGTTTCTATAAATCTTTGATTTGTTTTGTGAATAGTATTAACAATATATGTTATGAACCACATTTTCTTCTCAATGAATTTTACAAGTGTTTCTAATTATAATAATATGAGTTTTTTTTTTTTTTTCTGTCATTTTAAAGAGGATGCAAAAATCTTATAGCAAGACTTTTAAACGACAAAGAGCTGCACTAGGAAAGAAGCATTCTGCTTCAACTTATATCAAGAGGTCAAAAGTAAAGTACTTAAGAAGTTCAAATCTAAGGAGAAGACGAAATTTCAAAAATGCAATTGAAAACCCTGAATCTAGTAGGAATAGGGGAGGGGCCTTATCTCCTAATTTAGAAGAGAAAGAAGTAGAAGTCATGAGTGACACCAGTGAGGCAGAGGCAGAAGAACAAAGTAATACGTGTGGGGAGGCACAAAGTCCTCCTCATGATGTCACTAATGAAGTGGCAATCGCAAATAGAAGTGGTGGAATTGTCTCTGAACTACTATCAATTAATGATATCCATAGTTCCTCCAATGCACTTGTGTGGGGGAGAAATGGTCAACGAAACACCCGTAACACTGCCAAAAATGTTGCTGCTTTTAGAAACAAACGCCTTTCTAGACTAATAGACCATCTTCGAAGCTCGGGACAAGATGATGATGAGGTACTTTGTTTCTTCAAACCTATATATAACTCTTAAGTTGACAATTGAGCACAAAATCAATGAGATGGAAACTTTGGGTTGTATACTTGCATATGAAATTCTCAAATTAGTATAAAACAAAAGTAAGGAGACATTTGCAAACTTTATTAAGGGATTTTATTTTTTGAAGATCTTGAATGATGCAAGGGCTTTTGTATTACTTATGATAGAATTTTAATTTTCTCTATATGTAATCAAATGATCATTTTATTATTTGAAGAATGATAATGGTGGAGTGGGGTTGCACGGGAGAATCCTTAAATGTAGGAGTTAAAGCACGTGTTTAATAAGTTATGTGTATTTGCACAAGGGTTTGAATGTTAGGTGATTTCTATTTAAAATATCCTCAATTTTTCTTTAAAATTTATGTATATAAACTATAATTTTTTAAACTAACATCTTATAGTTTACTTATTTAATTATGTATTATGTAAGTGAATGTATGCATCCTATTAAACGGTAGTTCAAAGCTTGTTATCAAATGTATAATTATCTTCTACTTTTACTATATTTTCCTACCCGATTAAAAAAAATGTTGTTTTCTCTTTATCATTGATTATTGTTTCCTAAGTATCATGCACCACTTGACTATTATACTACAATCACTAATGATAAAATCAATGATTTGGTCAATATAATTTCAGCTGGTTATCTTTATCAAACTTGTCTCTTTTGAGGAGAAAAGAGTACCGAATTTGCCAAGGCCATACCTTAGTTGCAGACCTACATTACTAGTCAAGAAACTTTGTCAGGTAAATGTTTTCCAATCTCTGTGAAACCTTTCACATGTTAGTATATCTATTATTGATGCTAATGTTGTTTTACTATCTACAGTATGTTGCCATGGAAACCTCCCTACAAACTGAAGAAATTGAATTGTACTTGGTAAATGAGTGTCAACTTGACATTGTGAGTGGCGATGGCAATTTAGATCCTGTCAACGATAAGTTTCAACTTCTAGCAAGAGAGGAAGAAACTTTGTCTGAACTAAAATATAATAATAATCTTAACTTTGGCCATCTGGTAATTTTTTCTCTTTATAAGTTGAACATGTAACTATATATTAAATTTAAACAAACAAACCATTTGTTTGCTTTTACCATTTTTTATTGTTAGTGTTAATATCTTTCCTTTGCTATTTTTATGTGTTCTTTACAGGTTATAGCTTATAAGAGGAAGATGTGGAACTTAAATGAAATGTTGTCTTGTGTTGAATGATGATTAGTCACTTCAACTATCATTTATTGATTGAATGATACATTGAATTATGAAAACTCTCAATTATGTCATTTATCTCTCTCTTCCAAGAATCACAAAGGAAGACACATGATGCTAATCTTCACAATATTTGTGGCGTGTTATAGTCAGAAATTTGTGTATCGATCCTTCACTATCACCGTAGACATAAGGCTTTAGTTTGATTGAGATCTAAAATACGCTTAAGGCAAGTCTAAATTATTATATTGCAATAACAACAAAGGATAAAGTTTAGATATTGAACTTAAATGATTAAGTTTAAATAATTATCAATTTACTCTTAATTTTTAGTAGTTTGAAGAAATAGAATTTGATTGGAAAGAATATAATTATTTAAAAATTAAGAACCACATTCTAGAAAACTTTTATTAAAGTTTAAAAATAAAAGTTTTAGAGTTATAATTTATTGTTCTCATCCCTCAAGATAAAGTTTTTAAATTATAAAATAATATCGTCAATTTTATTTCTAAAATAATTAACAGTCCTATGTTTCCGATAAGTCAACAATCTTTATTTTAAAAAAACTCAAATTGATTATAAGAGTTTTATTATCAAAATAAAGTATTTGCACACAAAATCAAATTAATTAATAAATTAATTTAACTAAAAATTAAAAAAAATAGTTTAGTCATGCAAATTTTTAGAATTCAATTATTTTAGGATTTTGTTAATTAAAAGTGTTTAGCGTGCACTTTCAATTAATTGAAATAAGAATTTAAAACACTAAAATAATTTGAAATATAATAGAAATAAATCATGAAGTCGTCCTTGGACTTCACAAAGAACAATTACATTACAATCTTAAAATATAAGGACTAGAACACATTAAACAAAGGAAAATAATTATTACCCATGATAGCATGAATCCTTCCCCCAAGGGTTTGACCTTTTCCCTCTTACAAAAAATCAATAACAAATACAAGAGGAAAGAAAATATAAGAGAAAATAGAGCTAAAAACTTGATGAAAACAATGTGCTATGACATCTCTATTTATAGTAAAACACATAATGACAAACTTTTAAGCACGATCGAGCATAAGGGAAGTACAGTTGTACTCATGGCATACTTTAGTGTAGGACAGAGGGAACATGGGGGTGCTTCTTCAATGAACAAGGCTTGCTTAGTCGACCAAGTACGACCGTGCATATGAGTAAGTGTAGTCTTGCTTCTCCACTAGGTGGATGGAAGGTTATGCTTCATCAACCAAGTACTATCATACTCTTGACATGGGCGTGCTTTATTGATTTTGTTTGGGGCATTGCTATGCATCGCGTAATGGTCCATTTGCTATTTAATTGCACATATTTCACCTGAATTTAGGTTTTTTTTTTTCATTTTTGCGCACACTTAATAAAAAAAAATGAAGTATTACCAAAGAATTAACAATAAATTAATACAAAATATCAATGAATATTATCCCAAAATGTAACATCTTAATGGTTTAACAACCTTCCCACACTTAAATCTTGCTCACTCTTGAGCCAAAATAAAGATAAATTATCACTACTCATAGGTGAAAATATATTCCCTAACAATTAAGAACTTCATGTGTTGTCTTCAAAATTTTATTAACAGAGTCTAGGACAAGAGAGATCATCATTGCTCAAAGGTTCTCAAGTGCAGAATTTTGTTAAGTTAATTAATTTTAAACATTGGGTCAAGAAGAACAACTCATAATTATTTCTATGTTTCTCAAGTTTTCTACTTAAAAAGGCACTTACCTGCCATATAAGTGTGGATCTTTTACTCAGATGTTTTGCATTTGACACACAAGTCTCAAAGGAATGTTGTCTAAAAGCTATTATTTTTTAGTTGAGCATTTCACTAGTAGTCCGTTTTTCTAGAGTATCAAGATTATTCTAATATCCCAAAAGTCTCAAAGGGGTGCCTTGCAAAGATTTATTTCTTTGTGCCATATAGTCATGCATTTCTTGAGTAACTTAGTATAGTGAGTGTCACCAAAAAAAATTGATTTTATCATGTATTTTATCATTTATTAATTAGTGTGTGCCATTGATAGTTAGCTAGCTAGGTGTAATGCTTGGCATAAGCATCTAGAATAGGGATAAACTACCTAGTTTTTCTTCCTGTTTGCGGTCTGCCCTCATAAGTGCACCGACACCACACATACGAGGACCAAAGCATGGACATTTGGAAGAGGTACCACCAGAAGATCATGCAGTATCCATATTCCATATCTGGATAAAAACAAATAAGTCAGAAAAATCCAAGTAGAAAAATTAGAGTTAGAAAATATGCTAGTGGAAAACATGTTATAGCAGCATGGTTTGAGTGGAGCATATGCACGAGCTTGCTTTCGGGACGCACGACCATGCTATAGTTGAAGCATGGCTTTCGCTAGAATAGAAGCACGATCTTGTTGATAATGAAGCACAATCATGCTTAACGGCGATGAAGTTTGTAAACTATGCCATTGCATACAGAGCGGTGATGAAAGCCAAAAAACCATAAACAGAGATGAAAAATCCATGCAGATATGAAAAAGAAACAAATGTAACAAAAAGGTAAAATACGTCTGTGTGTAATCGAAAGGGAGAAGAGAGGAAAAAATGTAGAAGTTTTTCAAAGTGCCAATGTAAAAGGCTCAATCTTTCTAGACTACAATTTACCTGGAAATAACTGTAGGTGGGAATTATAACAGAGAACTTTCTCCCCCAATTTAAATTTCCTGAGCTTGATGCGATTATCTTGCCATACAAGCTACCTCCAACTGAAGAATGGAAAGAAAACTGTTTACACTAGGCATCGAAAATTTCTCAAACCTTATCACCCATATCGGAGATTGAAAAAAGCTTTCAATGGGTGTCAAGAACATGAAATTGCACCGACACCCTTAACTGGTGAACAAGTTTATGATTTGGTGAAGGACATAAATGTTATCTTTGGAAAAACTCAAAAGAAGTCAAATGAGAAAAACTTGTGGAAGAAGAGATCAATATTTTTTAATCTTCCTTATTGGTGCCATCTAGATGTTAGACATTCTATAGATGTTAGACAATCTACAGCGGTTCTAAGCATCAACTGACTTAGATGTATATATGCACATCTAAGTCGGTTTTGAATAAAAACCGTCTTAGATGTGTATATATACATCTAAGTTAGTTTTTATAAAAACCGACTTAGATGTATGTGCACATCTAAGACAGTTTTGTAAAAACTGACTTAAATGTATAAGTACATCTAAGTCGGTTTTAAAAACCGACTTAGATGTATAAGTACATCTAAGTCGGTTTTTACGTAACCGACTTAGATATGATCATTCATCTACGACGGCCTTATCTAAGTCGGTTTTAAAACCGATGTAGATATGGCAAAATAACCGACTTAGAATACATAATGATTTTCCAGCGTATGGGAACTTGAGCGGGTATAGTGTTAAAGGACATCACGCATGTCCTATATGTGAACAACAAACAAGCTACCTCCAACTGAAGAATGGAAAGAAAACTGTTTACACTAGGCATCGAAAATTTCTCAAACCTTATCACCCATATCGGAGATTGAAAAAAGCTTTCAATGGGTGTCAAGAACATGAAATTGCACCGACACCCTTAACTGGTGAACAAGTTTATGATTTGGTGAAGGACATAAATGTTATCTTTGGAAAAACTCAAAAGAAGTCAAATGAGAAAAACTTGTGGAAGAAGAGATCAATATTTTTTAATCTTCCTTATTGGTGCCATCTAGATGTTAGACATTCTATAGATGTTAGACAATCTACAGCGGTTCTAAGCATCAACTGACTTAGATGTATATATGCACATCTAAGTCGGTTTTGAATAAAAACCGTCTTAGATGTGTATATATACATCTAAGTTAGTTTTTATAAAAACCGACTTAGATGTATGTGCACATCTAAGACAGTTTTGTAAAAACTGACTTAAATGTATAAGTACATCTAAGTCGGTTTTAAAAACCGACTTAGATGTATAAGTACATCTAAGTCGGTTTTTACGTAACCGACTTAGATATGATCATTCATCTACGACGGCCTTATCTAAGTCGGTTTTAAAACCGATGTAGATATGGCAAAATAACCGACTTAGAATACAATCCTTCTAGTAGTGTGAAGTTATATGGGGAGCTTCATTTGCAACCTATAGCTTGTGACCCTTTTAAAAATTATTTTCCCTTATGAAGCACGACCATGCATGTGTTAAGCACAATCGTGCTAGGCCAATAGTCACTTGATATGCATGGTAGTGCTAACTGGGAGCATAACCTTGCTTCTTTCTCGGTTTTTTTTTCCAGGTTGCCTCTTCAGCAACGCTTGTTTAAGGTCTCAAGTACGATAGTACAATGATTAGTTCATTTGTCCCTTTAAAGTCAACTACATAGTTAACCTATAATAGGCTATCCTCATAGTGTTTGACTCTGTTTTTGTTTATTTTAAATGTTGTCCTATCTTTCATGGACAACTCTAGTACCCCATAGGGAAATATTTGCACCAATGTAAAAGGCTCAATCTTTCTAGACTACAATTTACCTGGAAATAACTGTAGGTGGGAATTATAACAGAGAACTTTCTCCCCCAATTTAAATTTCCTGAGCTTGATGCGATTATCTTGCCATTTTTTTTGTCTTCTTTTGTACAACTTGGAATTTTCATATCCTCCAATTCGAATCTCATCCAACTCATTGTGAGAGTCTGTTACTACCTGCAAGCTTAACATTAATGGTAAGATATTTAAGATCTTAAAGAGCTTTGTGTTCCAATTCAACAAGTGACAATTTCTTTTTCAAAGACTAGTTTGTAGGGAGACATGCCAATGAGAGTTTTGAAAGTTGTCCTGTAAGTCCACATTGCATAATCTAATTTAGTAGACCAATCCTTTCTATACACACCAACAGTTTTTCCTAATAGTGTGTTTGGACGAGGAATTTTACAAATTCAAGGAATTTTAAATTCTTAGTATTTGAATTATTGATTTCAATTTCTATCATTCTTAAAATATTTTGTTTGGATGAGTCAATTCAAATTTCTTAAATTTTAAATTGTTAGGTTGAATATGATAATTTGATTCCATCATAGTAAAATTGATTTTAAAAATATATTTATATGTTGAGATTTTTAAATTAAATTTTATAAAAATAAATATTAATCCATTTTTAAATATTTAAAAATTTTAAAAATTAATATTAGATAATATTTAAAAATTTTAAAAATTAATATAAGATAGTATTAAATAATTTTAAAAATATTTTTGAATATCTAATAATTAAAAGAATGAAGAGATAAGATAAAATATATAGGTGAAATAAGAAAAACAAATATGAGGAATTTCAAATTCTCCCATTTTTGGAAGAATTTGAAATTCTACTATTTTAAGAAATTTCACAAATGCTTGGATTTCAAATTCTTTGTAAATTCCTCATCCAAACAAAGCATTTCACCTCAAAGAATTTGAAATTCTTCAAATAAATAAATTACCCTATATAAATTTCTCATCCAAACACATCATAAACGTTCTTTTTAGCTCCATATTGGATATCTCTACTTGGCCACTAGTTTGAGGGTCTCTCCTTGCTATGTAAGCAATGTTGTTACAACCAAAATCCTTAAAATTTTTATGTCAGTAGTTTTTTTAGTTTTGTACAGGGGCAGCTTATAAATTTGCCAAATGGTTGTTGAGAGCTTTATCTTTATTTAAACAATTGTTGTTACAAAATGACGTAGACATCTTATATTTAACTCTATGGTTGATTTTGCTGTACTTCATGCGTGCACTATTTTTTAGGAGAGCTATTCAATTCTAGGGAGTATTTGATGATTCCGGGGGGATGAAAATTGAAGTATGCATTCTTCAATTCTAAACACAAATGTACTTCTGAGTTAAAGAAACTTTTAAAGAAAATTGTATCATCAAAACACTTTTCTATTACGAACTTCAAGTCTGAAGCTATATGCTTCCCATTTTTATTAAATCTCATTTTTCTGTGTGGATAACAGGTAGAGTGGTTAAAGATGCTCCTGTATAGATGTGCAGTAATGATGCCTGAACTTCATTTCTCTTTTGTGATGCGATAGATTGTTATTTTTCCTAGTATATAATCTTGGTCTTGTTTTTGATTCTATGTTGTTAATGTTAATCAGGATTCTCAGCAGACCAAGAATTCCAGTACCTTTCCCTGATCTCTCTTCCCTGATCTCTCTAGAGATTACACTGTTCTCATTGGAGATTGGTACAAATCCAACCACACGGTAATTACACTTGTCACTTTCTGTTTTTCACATTTAGATATATAGCAGCTTTAATAAATTTAAACCCAATTTTGTCATAATTTTTTAGCCCTGACCAAAAACATCTTATATCCCCTCACTGTCTCTCTTCGTGGGCGTTTCCACATGTAGCAAAAGCTCCACGTCCATACCACTCGATAATAAAGTCTTGACACACACAATAATCCGTTTCTTTAATTTCAAATATTTTCTTCCAGAAAAAACATAACAATAATTTGCCAAATCTTTTCCATAATAGAAATAAATATTTTCCGACGTGGAGATAAATTTTTTACGGCAAATATGAAGCAGTTTTTGGTAAGTGCATTTAAAATTTTCATTGGAATTGCATGCTTCTGATCTATTTTTCTTTTCAATGAATGCTTGTTCCATAATTCTTGCGGCATGCGTTGCTGCATAAGTATCAGTTATTGTGGTGGAGCCAATTACCTTAAAACATGAAAAATAATGGCATATAAAAACCGTGACACACACGAAAATATAGGTGTAAAGATCGTGGGTGTTGGTGGGTGTCTCAGAATTATTTTGGGTTAGGTCCGTGGTTGGTTTTCTTCTTTGAGTGAGTGGCAAGTAAAACCCATTATATATGCCTTTTACTTTTAGTTTTTTTTAATTTTACTTTGCATAACTAATGATTTTTCAAGAATTATATATTATTTTAAAATAGAAGTAATATGCGATTGTAATATAAAAGTAAACTTGGATTTCCACAAACTTATTCTCTCAACTGTCATTCATTTATTGTAATATAAGATTATTTTATTTATTTAAAAATATTAAAATATAATTAATAAATAATTATAATAAACAAAAAATTAAATTATTTATATAGTTAAAAAAATTATTTAATTAAATTATACACAATTCTTATTAGTATCAATATTTATTTAATTAATTATGATTCATTCTAAATTACTTTTCTTTTATAAATTTTAGTTATCTAAATCAAAATTTCCAGAAAAAACATAACAATAATTTGCCAAATCTTTTCCATAATAGAAATAAATATTTTCCAACGTGGAGATAATTTTTTGAAGGCAAATATGAGAGTAGTTTTTGGTAAGTGCATTTAAAATTTCATATTCATTTGTAATTATTTAGTACTTCATTAACGTACATTAAATTAATATATTATTCAAATATATATTAAAAAACATTCTGCAAAATCAAAATAAGATGTTGTCCTATTTTTCTATTTTTTACAAGAAATAAATGACAGGATATTTTACACAATTTTTTTATTTATAAAAGGTATATTATAAATTATTTCTCATATAAAGAGTGAAAGTAGTATATTAGTTGATGAATGCAGGATTTGTTTATAAGAAAAAATATAAAAAGGAAAAGGAAATAAAGTAGTGGCTTTGTCATGGTGTAAAGCATCCAATATGCGTTACGTGTAAGTGACTCTTTGTCGTGGCCAGATATATACTCTTATATATTCCGCAAATAATGACATATATTGACATCACTTTGTAGTGTATATTTTGTGTCATCTAATAATGACATATATTGACATTATTAAAAGATCCTTAAAATAAAGGAGTGGTTAGTATCTCCTTTTCTATAGACCTATCAAATAATTGTGGCCATGACAGGCAAAAGTCTGTATACCCCTTTTCTATAGTGTTGAACAAGGTGTATTTTAGGGATTGATCTTGGCATATTAAATAAATGTTAGATGTGGCATATTAACTATATCATGCATTTGTGATGTAGAATGGATCGTAGTTGGATGAATTCTAAAAGAATCACCAATGAGTATCAAAATGGGGTTGAACAATTTTTGGAATTTGCTCAACGAAATCAATCAGATTTGAGATCAGTCCCATGATCATAGTAGTGAAGTTTCTCAACCTTAGCATTCAGTCTTCTGGTATAACTGTTTACTTTGGACTCGCTTTTGCTGCAAGTGAGGTTAGGAACTATCCCTTTTATATATACTCCATATCATTAAAGAATTGTCACCCACCATTTAGTCACATACCAAGCCTAGTAATGCTGGGCATGAGAGGTATATTGGAAAAAAACATAAGTCCCACATTCACTAGATTAAGACCAATATATAGTATATAAGTGGGGGACAATCCTCACCTTACAAGTCAACTTTGTAAAGTTGAGTTATGACCAAACCCACTTTTTTTTAAAAAAAATCAACTACAGATAGTACTTATCTTCAGTAGTAATCAACTAGGGCAAAGGAAGAAAACTGACACATGGATGCTTCTGTTCAAGACTTCAAGTTTTAGATCATACTTCTGCTTTTGAACGTCAAGCATGTATAGAGGGTGCCTTAGTTTCTATTTTTCAGGTTTGTCGCGAATCGACATGTATTATTTAGTTTTTGTCATAATTTGACAAGAATATAACTTTAGGTTAGATATCATAACCATTTGCTATTTGAGACTTTTTAGTGTGGTTATGTGGGTACAAGTACAACTGATAAATTTGCATTTGTATAACAACATAACTTCACTGCATTAGCCACGTCATGCATGGTGATGTGGGCATGTGGCCATATCATGCAACTGCACCACCTAATGTGTCTTTTTCATGATTGTGGACAATTGAGATAGGAATCAAGGTGCCATCTATAGGAAAACAGAATTTAGAAGAGAATATTATTGAAAGTCTGAAATGCACATTGTGCTGTACAGTTATATATATAGAGAATTACAACAAAGAGAATAACAAGACCCAAAACGGAAAACTAACTGAATACAACAACTAATAAAAGTATTTATTATTTATTCTCTAATACACCCCCCACAAGCTCAAGGGGGATGAAACACAATAGATGGGTTGATCACATTGAGCTTAGAACATAGAAACAAAAAACTTCTTGGTGACAAAGCTTTTGTCAGAACATCTGCATATTGATGTTGAGCAAGTATATGCGAAACCAGTAGAGTTTTACTTAGCACCTTTTCTCTAACAAAAAAGATGTCTAGTTCCGTATGTTTGGATCTTGAGTGTAAGACAGGATTGTGAGATAAAGCAACTGTACTTTGATTATCACAGAGCACTGTAGGAATATTTATTTTTGCAATTGTTTTAGGAGAGATTGAATCCACAGAACCTCTATGACAGCTTGAGTTAAAGCTCTGTATTCTGCTTCAGTGCTCAACCTAGCAACGAGCAGCTGCTTCTTGGACCACCAAGACACCAAGTTAGGACCAAGATAAATGTAAGTTGCTGAAGTAGATCTTCTATCATTAGGATCAGCTGCCCAATCAGCATCAGTAAAGGCAGTAAGATTGAAGGGAGTAGTAGAAGTGGCAGAGGTGAACAGCAATCCATGTCCAATAGTTCCTTTAAGATACTTACGTATCCTTTTAAAAGCTTTCCAATGTTCCTCCATTGGAGAACACATAAACTGACTCACTTTATTGACATCGAAAGCAATCTCTGGCCGAGTAATTGTAGCATATTGCAGGGCACCAACAACAGATCTGTATAAAGTTGGATCATCAAACAACGTACCCTCCTTGGCAAGTTGCTGGCCACCAACCATAGGAGTAGATATGCCCTTAGAGTCTTCCATTTTTACTCTAGTAAGAAGATCAGTGACATTTGTCTTGAGACAGAAATAACCTCCCTTTAGGAAGAAATTTGACTTCAATACCCAAGAAAAATAACCGACTTAGAATACAATCCTTCTAGTAGTGTGAAGTTATATGGGGAGCTTCATTTGCAACCTATAGCTTGTGACCCTTTTAAAAATTATTTTCCCTTATGAAGCACGACCATGCATGTGTTAAGCACAATCGTGCTAGGCCAATAGTCACTTGATATGCATGGTAGTGCTAACTGGGAGCATAACCTTGCTTCTTTCTCGGTTTTTTTTTCCAGGTTGCCTCTTCAGCAACGCTTGTTTAAGGTCTCAAGTACGATAGTACAATGATTAGTTCATTTGTCCCTTTAAAGTCAACTACATAGTTAACCTATAATAGGCTATCCTCATAGTGTTTGACTCTGTTTTTGTTTATTTTAAATGTTGTCCTATCTTTCATGGACAACTCTAGTACCCCATAGGGAAATATTTGCACCAATGTAAAAGGCTCAATCTTTCTAGACTACAATTTACCTGGAAATAACTGTAGGTGGGAATTATAACAGAGAACTTTCTCCCCCAATTTAAATTTCCTGAGCTTGATGCGATTATCTTGCCATTTTTTTTGTCTTCTTTTGTACAACTTGGAATTTTCATATCCTCCAATTCGAATCTCATCCAACTCATTGTGAGAGTCTGTTACTACCTGCAAGCTTAACATTAATGGTAAGATATTTAAGATCTTAAAGAGCTTTGTGTTCCAATTCAACAAGTGACAATTTCTTTTTCAAAGACTAGTTTGTAGGGAGACATGCCAATGAGAGTTTTGAAAGTTGTCCTGTAAGTCCACATTGCATAATCTAATTTAGTAGACCAATCCTTTCTATACACACCAACAGTTTTTCCTAATAGTGTGTTTGGACGAGGAATTTTACAAATTCAAGGAATTTTAAATTCTTAGTATTTGAATTATTGATTTCAATTTCTATCATTCTTAAAATATTTTGTTTGGATGAGTCAATTCAAATTTCTTAAATTTTAAATTGTTAGGTTGAATATGATAATTTGATTCCATCATAGTAAAATTGATTTTAAAAATATATTTATATGTTGAGATTTTTAAATTAAATTTTATAAAAATAAATATTAATCCATTTTTAAATATTTAAAAATTTTAAAAATTAATATTAGATAATATTTAAAAATTTTAAAAATTAATATAAGATAGTATTAAATAATTTTAAAAATATTTTTGAATATCTAATAATTAAAAGAATGAAGAGATAAGATAAAATATATAGGTGAAATAAGAAAAACAAATATGAGGAATTTCAAATTCTCCCATTTAAATATTTAATAATTTTAAAAATTAATATTAGATAATATTTAATAATTTTAAAAATTAATATAAGATAATATTTAATAATTTTAAAAATATTTTTGAATATCTAATAATTAAAAGAATGAAGAGATAAGATAAAATATATAGGTGAAATAAGAAAAACAAATATGAGGAATTTCAAATTCTCCCATTTTTGGAAGAATTTGAAATTCTACTATTTTAAGAAATTTCACAAATGCTTGGATTTCAAATTCTTTGTAAATTCCTCATCCAAACAAAGCATTTCACCTCAAAGAATTTGAAATTCTTCAAATAAATAAATTACCCTATATAAATTTCTCATCCAAACACATCATAAACGTTCTTTTTAGCTCCATATTGGATATCTCTACTTGGCCACTAGTTTGAGGGTAATAAAAGATGACTACTTTATGAGTTATACCATATTTTTGTAATAAATTATCAAAATAATTTATTACAAAAATGCGTCATTTTATCACTTATTATTTCTGAGGGTGTCCCAAATTAAGAAGGAAAATTCTTTAAAAATTTAACTACACTTCGAGCATCATTAGTAGGTAAAGCCACAACCTTCACTTATTTAGACGCATAATACACAACAACCAAAATATATTTATATATAAAGGATATATGGAAAGGGTTCATGAAGTTCATTCCCCACAGATCAAATAATTCAACCACAAACATATTATTTAGAGACATCTCTTTGACACTTGGAAAGGGTACCAAAATGTTGAAAGTTGTAGGAAAAAGAAAGACACTAGAAGGGACTTAAATAGTGAAACTCTGAAACTCACACTCATTGCATAGCAATGAAATAATAACATTGCAATAAGGTGTGAGTTGAAGGTTTCAGAAAAATCATCATGAATAAATAAAAGTAAATCAGGGGGCATGTAGGTGAAATAAATATACTACAAACTAATGAGACACCTTCCTTAACCAACCAGACAATGCACCAGTTTCCTTCTCTATGAGTATAATATACATAACCTTAATTTTGTGTATTATCACTCCATGAGGATGGGTTGAAGACATACTATGTAGCCACAGTTACATATACATGTATCATGCAGAAACTAATATTATTTATTTTCCATGCTTTTTTGTCTAAAACTTGTCAAAAATGGTCAATTTATTATTTTGAAACATTTGGAATTGTTTAAAACCACACTATTTGGAAATGTCAACAGTTCGTTTGAATACAACACCAAGGTCAGTTCACTAATGATAAAAGGCCTAAAGCAAAATTTAAGATAAACTTTTGCATTTAAAATGAAAGAGTTATATGTTGTGCATTTTACTAATATATATTGCCTTTTTTGCTTTACAAAATGTAATAGCAAATAATTTTTGATTAGTGGGCTAAAGCTTGAACTTTAAAAGCTTTATCCTTGGGACAACCCTGTCAGATACCTTTACATTTTGGATAATCACTTAGTACAAAGTTTCACCAGAAGTAGTGACTAATATATGTCGAAGACCGTGAGCACATACAAGGTGATATTTTCCTTCCAACATAGTTTGTTAATTTCCATACTTAAGTTCATGATTTGAATCTTAAACAACTTGGTTAATAAATACAAATTGTTATCACTTGTGTCAACTATCAATGGTTTTTGTTATTGTAATAATATATGATTTAATTTATACCTTCTTAATTAATTATATGATTAAATATTATTTTGTCGTAATTATTTTTGTTTGAGAACTCTAAGGGTCAAGAGATCCTTGAGAGTTTAGTGGTTGGTGTGGTAGTTTTAAGTTAGAGTCTTTTGGCCTAACTCAAAGAAGGGTGTATATAATATTTTTCTTAAGACATGAACCTCATAAGCTCATGCTTTAAGAAAAGTAGAGAGAAGTTAAAGAGAAATTAAGACTATAGAGCCAAAACAGTTATTCCTTTCCTTATTTCCACTAATTCCATCTACACCTTTCCTACAACTAATCAAAGTTGATAGAGTCTAAAATTCAAGCTTTTGGGGTTGAGAATCTCAAGTCAAGAATTGTACAGAGTTCGTTTCCTTCTTCCTCATGTCTTTTATTTTCAAAACTAGAGGTAATGAAAGTTAGTGACTGATGAATTGTTGCTTTACACTACTTGTTTGATGAATTGCATGCATCAATTGTTGGCTGTTTGGATTGAATTAAAAGGGATTTTGAATTTCTTGAATTTTTAGGTTCTCTGGTTTTCTAAAGAAAATTGGATGATTCTTGGAAATCCATGATTGCATGTACTATTTTGAGTTTGTTTGGAGTTTCTTATAATGTATATATGATATATTTTTTTTTATTTCATGTTGGTGGTGTGACTTGCATGTTTGAGTCATTTTGATGATTCTCCTATGTGCAAAAATCATCATGGCATCGGGCAATTCTTCATGGCATCAAGCGTGGATCAAGTTAGGGGTTATCTATCTTGACTATGTTGATTATAGTATTAATAGCGTCAGATGTGAGTCAATAAGGAGCTCTCTACCTTAGTCACACCAGATGGGGTAATGAAATGCATTGGGTGTGATTGCTTGAGGAACTCTCTACCTTGGTAATGTCAAGTGAGCATGATTAAGTTTATGGCTCTCTGTCTAAATGATGTCGAGCATAAGTTTAGTGATGTTGAGCATGAATTAAGCTAAGGCTCTCTGCGTACCTGAATGGGGTCAAACATGGGTTTATCCACACCAAGCATGATTGACACAAAGGCCTTGTACCTCATTCATGCAGGTATAGGTGGTTTGGCGCCAAGCATTGGTGAGTTAGAGGCTCTATGCCTCAATTATGGCACCGGGCATGCGAAGAATGGTGTCAAGCATGGTTTGTTAGACAAAAAATTGATGGTTATTTGTCTAAGTGTTGGAAATATTTGAAGTGTATTTCTTACTTTTATACAATATGATGTTGTATGATTATGGTTCACTATGCATTGATCTAGGATGATGTGTGATGTTTTGAGTTGATAATTGATTGGAGTTGAGTAAGTGGTGAAGTTGTTTAGACATGTGGTATTATGATACGTGTCTCAATTGAGATACATAAAAACTAGAAGTGAATAAAATATTTTATAAATTAAAATATTTATCTATAGAATATAAGTTATGGTGCTTAAAGCGGCCAAAGTTGACAACCCTTTAGTGAGCTGTTGGCTTCTGAATGAGAAAATGTCCTAAGTTGTCTCCTTCAGATTTTTTGTGGAACGATATGGAAGCTAGGTTGAGGCATATGTACATAGAGTGACCAAATGAGTAGGTGTGAAGTCAAGAGTTTATATCATTAACTGATTACTTGTTAAAAGAATTATTAAATATTATTACATAATATTTTATTTATTAATATAAAATATTATTAAACTAGTAGCAACAAAAACATAACAGAGTTAAAAAAATAAAATAATATCTAATGTTTTAAGTGAAATATTGTTAAAATCTGTTTCATTATTATTTTGATTGGGAATGAAAAAAAAAAGGAAGGATAAAATTAAAAATGACATCAAATTAGTTTTAAATATGAGAGTTAATGTTATTTATTATTATTTACTCTCTCACATAATAAATATATTAAAAAAAATATTGAATAATGAATTTTAATAATTGTTAAAGTGTATCTCAGGCACACATTAAAAAAAAAACCCGATAACTAATTTAGGACTATTTTTATTTGTTTTCCTCCCATGCTTACCTTATTAGTATGCAAACTTAAAAGCTTTAGATTGCGATGTGTAGCTTTTCACTGGGATGCGTGAGTAAGGTATTTTTCTGAAAGGGAACCCTGTAAAAGGTTGGTTTCTGCTCTCTACCTTTTGATTGTTATTGTTAATTGAGTTTGGAAATTGGATGCATATGCCTTGAAATTTTATAGTATCATCACAAACTGAACTAATGAGTCCTCTTCTTGTAATGGTATGTCAAGTCTGTTAGAATTGATTATGTGAAAGTTGGTACTTATCTTTTTCTTTGGATCAATATAATGTATTTTATTCCACTCCTTCCCCTTATTATGCATTATTGAAACATTAAGTTGGGACAATAAATTGTTGTCACAAGCCAATAAATGAATTATGTTGATGCAAGCTTGAAACTGGATTAGAACCTTGGGAGCTTCTTAGGAGCTGAGAGTGAGAGCATCAGTCCCATGATCATAGTAGTGAAGTTTCTCAACCTTAGCATTCAGTCTTCTGGTATAACTGTTTACTTTGGACTCGCTTTTGCTGCAAGTGAGGTTAGGAACTATCCCTTTTATATATACTCCATCTTTTCACGGTACTTTGTTTAATATTTCTAATTTTAATGTTCTCCTAAAATTTCTGCACGTTTCAATGCAGTTTTTCACTTCAAATGGTTTTCCTTGTCCTCCTTTCATGATTCCATCTGATCATTTACTAAAAACCATTAACAAGGATTTCGATCAGGTAACTAAGTTGACCATGCAGTCCATGCTTACAGGGAATTGATGCTTTATTCGTATTTCAATTTTTCTACACTGCAAAATACTGGAACATATAATTGTAGTCAATAAAACTCATAAAAATCTGATTGAAATACTTTTTTATTTTATCAGGACTTTGAGTTGAATTTAGACGAGAATATAGTATTTATATTCAGAGACGAGAACTATCTCTTCCACTTTAGGCCAGCTATATATCAAAGCTATCTCTTTCTTTTTTGTAATAAAAAAAATGTTGTAAGGGATGATCAAATATTTTCAGTTCTCATTTTTCACACGCATAGGAGAGGCAAATCAACAAATTTAAACTATAACATGCTCATAAAATCCATTCTCATATGCACAATTCTAACACCCTGTGCTTGTTCCTTTGGAAGAGTTGAGAACATTCTTATATATAAAGGTTCAACACTTTAAGTTATTCAAGCAATATGGGATTTCTTCTATGGAAATAACATGCATATGCAACAAGAAAACAAGAGAATTATACTTCTCAATACATTGGTTCTCCAACACTGTGCTCCCCTTCTCTACCTCTCTGTTTTTAATATATTATCAGTGAATTAAAAGTTATTTTAAATATAATTGAATATAATTTTAAATATTATATTTATCTACATGCTAGTAGAACCTTTCCGGTGCTTTAAAATGCGGACCAGTCTGGACATGGTAAGGTAAAGCTCATGAGAAATTTTGAGTTATTTGAAACAAAATGTGAAAGCTAAAGCTAAAATATGTCTATTCATATCCAAATTTTTGAATCGATTATTTTGGGGAATAATAAACATAAAAAAAAAAACGTAGAGTTTGCATTCAATATGAAACATTTCACTGTATGGAATTTAAAATATTTGAATTTAGCATAGATAATAATCTGGAGCTACTTTGGTATTTAATGGTGTGTTGTACAAATTTTGATGACATAAATATTAGTTTTCATTATAGAAATATTAGTTTTATTTTATTATTTATCTTTTTGAACTAATATTTTTACTTTGTTTTTTGTAGGTGGTACAATGTTTATTTTGGCCTATAAGGAGGAAGCGTATTACACTTTGGTTTAAATGATCCAATATATTTAACATAAAATTACATTCAACTTAACTGGATATCATTTACTGTAAGTTTAGACAGAGATGAATTATATGAAAGAGAAAATTGATTGAACAATTCGAATTGTATAAAATATATAATATAATATAAATATTAAGTAATACAATAAAATTTTATTGTTCACATCATATATAATAGTAATCAATTTATTTATATGTATATATTACATATAATAATATAATTGTTATTTTTTTAAAAAAATTGCAGAAAAATTATTTGTGAAATTTCTTACGAATTTAATAAAAATCATAGGAAATATACCCGCGAAGTTTGAAATTCACGTGAAAAATTACCTCAAAATTTCTATTGCTTTTAAATCTGCAGGAAATTTATCTGCGGGTTTTGTTTTTACAAGTTTTAGATCTGTGGAAAACTTTCTTGGAAAAGTATTCGTAAAAACGTTTTCTGTGATTTGAAAAAAATTTACAGGAAAATCCACAGAATATTTTCTACAGATTTTGTGACACCCTTACTACCCCAACACATATATAATATAATTTAATTAAGAAGAATAAACTTTCAAAGGGTTCGTAAAAGGATTCACATAAAACTTCGAAACTGTTCTTTCTTCAATATAAGAAAATGACTGAAAAATAAAACTTGAAAGGTAAAATTTAAGAGTTTACAATTTTAAACACATTTATTACAATACCAAATCCATATAAATATTCTGTCCTAGAAATCCTCTGCCCCGATGTCACATTATCAGAGCATTCCCATAATTTAACT